GAACCTTGGGGGCACAGTTTTCTGAGCAGGCGCGGTTTCTGACAGATGCTGACACTTTACAGTGTAAACAGGACACTCTGCTAAACAAGCCAAGGCGAGCGGGCCAGGTTCACACCACGTTCCCGGCTGCCCTCCCTCTGCAGCCTGCAGCCTGCAGCCCGCAGCCCGGCTGACAAGGAAGGAAAACCACCGCCAGAGACAGAAGGTGGGTCGTTACCCTCTCAGAATTCACAACACAGAGAGTCGGAAGCGGCTAAAAGGTGAGTAACAACACCGCAACGGTTTTATAAAGACAATGGAAACGAGAAGGGAGCTCATTAAATACATTCACTTTGGCTTTCTTCCCACAACGAAATACTCCACGTGACCAACATTACTGTGGATTGCTCTGCTTCCTGTAGGAGTACCATATTTTAGCACCATTTATGAGAATACAGATCAAGGCATTTTTCCCTATACAAAAGGTCTTGAGTATAAAAAATTATTTTAAAGTTCAGAATTAAGCTCAACCACCCCAAAAGATTGCCGAGACCATGGTTATCTCCAGCCCCGTATCCTTTCCTTGGATTACCCATGTTTTGGCGATTTCACCCCTGACCCACAACTACACCCAAGAAATCAACAAGAATGCGATAAAGCTCTGGTCAGTTGTTCTCCCTATTAATGAGTATTCAAAATATGGAAATATACAGATGGCCATAAAGGCCTGAGAACAGAGATATACGTAATAAATGGCTTGTTGATATGACTTTTCACTACAATTATCTATTATCTCCAGACTTAACGACCACTCTGTATAGTTCAATTATGCCTACTAACCCATTCCACCATTCCCAGTAACAAATATCAATTTACCATGAAAAACAAATGCAAACGGGACAGCTCACCTTCACCCTCCCAAATGTGGCCGGGTCTCAGGCTATGGGACCTCGCGTACGTAAGAATGTCCCAATGCGACTGCAGACCAGCAAGCAGGCACGTTCATACACACGCACACGTCCCTTCTGGTCACGGCCGAGCCTGCCTTGCTCCTACTGCCACTGCTACCAAGGGTGGGAGGAGCCAAACCAGTTTAGTTTTGTGCTTCTCACAGCTCCAAGTTATTAACTGGATCACACAGGTATTAATCATCAGCTGCCCATGTCTTAATTCACTGCGTAACTCAGCAATGGCTCCCTGATCTCTCCAGCCCCTCAGAAGACATCGCCAAGAAGTTTTTCCGAAAGAGTTAAGCATTACATAGTCTCCTTCTGTTAAGTAGGGGACTTAAACTTTAGAAAAAGGAGTTTGCAGAATCCACGCAGAAGTCTTCCACTGGTTCAGATTTTTATCCTTGTATGGCGTAAGCCATGGAGGTCTGTCAGGCGTCTGCTGTTTTGTTTTTAAAAGGCATTTTTAATCTAAAATCAGTTCCTCCTCCTTCAGTTCACTTCTTACAGTTCCTTGGGCCATTTTTAAATTACTTGACACTGTGCCCTGCCTTTGCTCAACTATTTGGGGATTCTATACCTTTCACACACATTTCAGATTCAGATTCACTCCACACACATTCAGGGCTTCCTTTTTATTGCTTTTAAGTAGATACAGATCTTTTTAAAAAGGCACCTATGTATTTTTGTGTATGCCTACAAGTAACATTCCCCGGAGGTTTACACTTCTGAAAACACTTTCTGGCTTTCAAAGGGGGAGTACCTGCCAAGTCTTGCTTTAGAAAGAGAGAGAGAGAGGAAAACAATCAAACTTTAACACCAAAAAGGAGAAAAAGCTAGGAAGTCTATCTGAGTCCTACTTCTGCACTGTGATGTAAGAATCCTAGATCACTAAAGGGGAGAGAGCACCTAACCGTCACCATCTGGAAGCTCTTCAAACAGCAGACTACAAACTCTCAAGTGAAAGAGCACCTTGGGGTGAAGAGGGCAGGAGGAATAACACAGCCTCTTAAAAAACAAAGGAAAACACAAGCACACAAAAACCAACAAAGGTGTTTCTTCCGACAGAGGTGTGAGATTCAGGTGGCCTGAGATTTTACTTGATAAGCTCTAGAATTGGAGGGAAAAAAGAAAAATGAAAGAAAACAAAGGCAATGTCTGTTTTCCACAATCAGAGAAAAACACCAGTATTTATCAGATATTAACCGAATGTGTAACAGAATAACAAAAGTGTAAATGGCTCTATCTAGACAGCAGGGTCAATCCTGTTCTGTGCCTTTAAAGCATTTTTGGATATGCTGGATTCTAAGGAAGAGGAACTGACATTTCAGATCAAATCCCACCCCCGCCCCCCCGCTGACGCTGAGATCATAAGTGAAAGAGCGCACATTGGCAGCTTGTTCTCAACTGCCACCCTCACTGTTCCATGTGTTATGAGTGAAATCAGTGGATGCTGTAAATGTAGGAGCTTAGCAGGTGAGGAGGGGAAGTGTGAAAAGTTCTCAGGGAGCAACGTTAATTCCATGGAACTTGTTACAGGGAAATTCTTTTAGGTTTAATGCACCTTAAATGATCTCAAAGGTTTAAGTCACGCCTGTTTAAGGTAGACATTATCCTTCTGCCAAGACCATAGGGTCCAAAACCACTGATCTCTTGCAATAAACTCTGGGATAGAAAGTAAGCACAGTGTCGTTCCTACTACCTTCCTTTTTCTGGAACACTATCATTTCAGAAATTCCCTCTGAATAGGTCATCCTCCTGAATCCATTTTGGTCTCAGTTCAATTTCAATTCTGCTGATGTCACCCGACCAGGCCAAGACCAGGAATGAAAAATGGAATTAAAACTTGGGGCAACCGTAGATGCAGGTTGCAACAAAAAGGAACATTTTTAAAGTTGACCAATCATCTATATTTCCTGAAATACTGTTTCTTTGAAAGCTTTACTTCTCTTATGCTGTGATCCCTCTAAGCCTGGATGGCAGTCTGAGAGCAGAGTGTAATAAGGCCTTGGGACAGAGAGCACCTTAAACGCACCCTTGTGAATTTTTATCAGTGGGGTGGTTAAGACCACAACTTCTGCACACACTCTAACGATATCACACACAGGAACAAGAAAGTAGTATGAAACATAAACAAGCTGCCCAGAAGCCCAGCTCAACTCAAGTTCACTAAGATTAGAACATTCTCAAAATGCAAAGACAGGTGATCATGAGTATTATTCAATTCAGCAGTGGCTATGAACCAACGGTTAGATGGACACAGACCCCTACTGCCTTATACAACCTAAGTGTTTGAAGTTGTGCTTTTAAAAATGTTCAAGAATGAACGGTAAGCATTTCCTGTTGTAAGTTACATGAAAAATAAGTTACATAAAATGAAGCATCAAAGCCAACAAGAATTCATCATTTTTACTTTCATTTGGCTTCTAGGTACCTCCTGATCTGAGGCACCACTGCATTTCACAGTGAAAAGCAAAGCCTCTCCAACACATTCACACACATTTAGAGCAGAATTTAATTCAAACACTCCAATGAATAAGTAGCTACCAAAACGTGGTGAATATTATTGATGAGGTAATGGGAAAAATATCAATATTAATGAGTCTGCATAGTTTTGTGTCCTCTGAGTTTTCTCAACCAAGAATTTTAATTTTTAAGTGAAAGCAAAACTAACACTATCACAAAAGGTTTGCCCCTCTGAGAAAAAAAATACAACGGATTAGATAGCTTATAAACTATAAGCTTAAATTGGACCAAATAAAGATCTTACTTACTATAAAATAAAGCTCAGTGCTTCAGGGTAACACCACGTCCACAAATACTGAGCCAATTCAGATGCCACTGACACAGTCCTAAAGAGTGACACGTCCCGTCCCTTGCGCCGTGGCCACGGTACACGCCCCACGTGGATGATTCGGGCCCTAATGCAGACCACGCTCAGCTGGGCTGCCCTGTCCAGCCCCCAGGCACCACCCTAGCCTGTGACATGCAATCACTCGTGGCCAGAACGCTGCCTCCCCCAGGCATAGCCAAATCAAGGGCAGATGCAGCTCGGCCATGCTTCTGCAGTCAGTTTTAAGCACACGCTCTGTTTAAACTTACCCATGAAAAGCCTGAGACGCTTTGCTGTTACTCACCCAACAGAGGAGCCACACGAATTTGGCAACGGAGGCATTCTCCAAAAAAATAATCACTTGGCCTTGGTCTCCTCTAAAAAAGCAGGTGGATCTAAGCCTTGTTCTGACTATAAAATGGTGGATCCATGGAAGTGGAGACTAAGGAGCAGCCCTGATCCTAGAGAGCGATGAGCTGCGCTCGCCCGCCAACTACCCAGCGCCTGCACCCAGCACCTGCACCCAGCGTCTGCACCCAGGGTCTGCACCCAGTACCTGCACCCAGAGCCTGCACCCAGCACCAGACCCGGTGTGTTCCCAACCGCAGGCGTTTGTCACGTTCTTCAGAGTCAGGACGTCCTGATGCCACTGCCTCTTCCTGCAGTTCCCTCTCCAGCCTTTAAATAACTCACTATTGGAGACCCAGTTCTTAACCTTCCATTACACAATCTGCTTAGAACAGCTTTAAATAACATGTAAATCCAAACCACTGCTCGATGAGACTATCAGAGGATGTTACGGCTGGGCCACTGACAGGCTTTGTCCCAGAACTCTACCATGTAAGCAGACCGTGTAGCTGCACAGGAAGGGCACTGCAGAGACCCATCACCACCAAAACAAAAAAATTACCATCTTTAAAAAAAAACGGAAAGCCAGTTTACTATTAGAGAGAGCTCTGAACATATTCCTCTCCAAAATAAGTCTCCTCTGATACAAATGTGTTTGTTTTATGGAGATGTAGTCTGCACCTTTCAACAGGTGTGCTCTGAAGGCCCCCAGTGAAACATAGTGCATCATAGGTGAGGGAAAAAACTTGATTAATTCTGATTATCAAAAGCTAGTCTTCAGAACATTCCAGTCCAGCTTGGCTCACAGGGCCCAAGAGTCCTCAGAGGTCACTCCAAGGGACCCGCAGGCCCGAGGACCAAGCCGCGTCGCCGGGCTGTCCGGGCGTGTCTCACAGACTCGTCTCCTCACACACTCTGACGGGGATGTTGTAGTGCCGGTCATCTTCGGCGATCAGCGTCACCACCGGCCAGTCCCTGGGGGCGTCGGTGGGATAGACGGTGATGAACTCTTCAGTGCTGTACTTGGAAAGCCGGTACACCTGAATGGTGTGGCGCACAGCGTAGGCGAGAAGGAACATTTCAACCTGGGGGAAGAGCAAACACTGAAGGATGTGGCGGGAAGCCACGGTGAAGGATAAGGCTCACCACCCACTCCCGCCCTGGTGTCCCCGAGGTGCACGGCGTGGCTCAGCCACAACCTTTCTTCCTCCCCGTGGGCCCAGCCCCAGTCCTTTTGTATATATGGGTCGTTATACACAAGCACACCATCAAGAAGAGATCCTATGTCTGATCAGGGACTCGTGTAGAGAATATGCAAAGAACACTGTACAACTGGACAATAAAAAAGCAAATAACCAGTTTAAAAATTGGGCGAAAGACTTGAATAGAACAGATATTTCTCCAAAGAAGATATGCAAATACCAGTAAGTACATGAAAAGTCATCAGGGAAATGCAAACCGAACCCACAATGAGAAACCACTTCCCACCCACTCGAATGGCTACAATCAAACATAATCACTGGGGGTGACTGCTTAACGGGCACCAGGTTTTCTTTCAGGGGAAGGAAACAGTTTTGGAACTTGACACAGGTGATGGTCACACAACACCGCAGATGTACCGAAAGTGACTGAGTTGTACACTTTAAAATGGTTAATTTTGTGTTATGTGAACTTCACCTCAATTAAAAAAAAAAAAAAAAAAAACCCTTCAGAGGACTCTTCCAAGACCTTAGTCTACTTGTTTACTGGAGCCAAGGGTACTGATCCCATCCACCACACTACAGAAGCAAGCCCAGGCTGAGATAACCATGGCGGTTATAAAATAGGTTCACAATTCTTTGGCACTCCTCACTTGAATGTGGGAAGGATTAAGTGACTTGCTTCTAACAAACAGAATAGAGTGTAACTGACCATGCACGACTCGCAAGACTAGATCATAGAAGGCACTGGAGCTTCCTCCTTGCTCTCTTCTTGGATCCCTTTCTGAGAGAGGCCAGCCGCCATGTCACAAGGACACCCAAGCAGCCCTATGGAAAGCCCCACATGGTGAGGAACAGAACCCTCCCACTACCTCCCAGTGAGGGACTGAGGCCTCCTGCCAATAGCCAGGTGAGTGTGCCATGCTGGAAGTGGACCCTCCAGCCCCGATCACGCCCTCAGATGACTGCAGCCCTGAACAAGATCCAACTGCAGCCTCCCGAGACCCTGAGCCAGAGCCATACAGCTCAGCCGCTCCTCGACTCCTGGCCCACAAAAACTGGGATGAGGTTTGGCGGCTGAAGCTGCTGTTTGGGCCAATATACTCCCAAAGGTACAGCTCACCTGTTCAAGGCCACCGGCGTGCCCCACCTGGTTCAGATGGTTCCTCAGCAGCTGTCCGGGGTCACCTGACGTGTCCCGAGCAAACAGAAGCACAGAGAAGAATGGCACTTCCCTTCCCTTCTCTTTATCATCATATAGCTCGATGGCTCTGTTTAGCATGAGAAATTTTACAGCTTCATAGAGGCTGTACTCCTCTTCTTCATTGGCGAACAGTTCATCACAAGCTATCTGCCTCGCTTCGGCAGTTCTCAGTTCAGCCAAGTCTGTCCACTGCAATAAGCAAGTTACATAATGATTAAATTGTTGCTCTAAAAGTCTCTGGTAAAATTCCACACGATGAGCACAAAATTATTTAAAAAAAAAAAAAAAAAAGACCCTTCAGAGGACTCTTCCAAGAGCTTAGTCTACTTGTTTACTGGAGCCAAGGGTACTGATCCCATCCACCACACTACAGAAGCAAGCCCAGGCTGAGATAACCATGGCGGTTATAAAATAGGTTCACAATTCTTTGGCACTCCTCACTTGAATGTGGGAAGGATTAAGTGACTTGCTTCTAACAAACAGAATAGAGTGTAACTGACCATGCACGACTCGCAAGACTAGATCATAGAAGGCACTGGAGCTTCCTCCTTGCTCTCTTCTTGGATCCCTTTCTGAGAGAGGCCAGCCGCCATGTCACAAGGACACCCAAGCAGCCCTATGGAAAGCCCCACATGGTGAGGAACAGAACCCTCCCACTACCTCCCAGTGAGGGACTGAGGCCTCCTGCCAATAGCCAGGTGAGTGTGCCATGCTGGAAGTGGACCCTCCAGCCCCGATCACGCCCTCAGATGACTGCAGCCCTGAACAAGATCCAACTGCAGCCTCCCGAGACCCTGAGCCAGAGCCATACAGCTCAGCCGCTCCTCGACTCCTGGCCCACAAAAACTGGGATGAGGTTTGGCGGCTGAAGCTGCTGTTTGGGCCAATATACTCCCAAAGGTACAGCTCACCTGTTCAAGGCCACCGGCGTGCCCCACCTGGTTCAGATGGTTCCTCAGCAGCTGTCCGGGGTCACCTGACGTGTCCCGAGCAAACAGAAGCACAGAGAAGAATGGCACTTCCCTTCCCTTCTCTTTATCATCATATAGCTCGATGGCTCTGTTTAGCATGAGAAATTTTACAGCTTCATAGAGGCTGTACTCCTCTTCTTCATTGGCGAACAGTTCATCACAAGCTATCTGCCTCGCTTCGGCAGTTCTCAGTTCAGCCAAGTCTGTCCACTGCAATAAGCAAGTTACATAATGATTAAATTGTTGCTCTAAAAGTCTCTGGTAAAATTCCACACGATGAGCACAAAATTATTTTCAAACTAGGCAGGTGACCATGGGTCACGTACCAACGCTCAACGCTCAGGCTTCCAGCTCAAACAATGGCACCCTTTAGACCTCACAAATTCCTTATTCACTTCTTCCCCCACTAACTTGAAACAAAAGTATAATGCACTAAGGAGAACTCTAGGGCCATGGAATGGAAATTTCAACTCCCCTATCTTCCCAGGCAAAGAGATCAAACCGGTCAATCAGAAATACTTCCAGGAGAGCTAACATGCATGTGTGCGGCCCGTGTGAGACGCTGTGAAGCGAAGCTGAAGCTACTCCTCCCCTTAAGGGGTTTACGGCAGCCGTTACCACCCAGAAACACCAAGCCAACCCTCAAACCTGGAGATGCGCCAGGACGACTGCGGGGTATCCTGAATATCTGTTTACTAAACTTACCCTTCTAACCGCTTCAATATACCCTTGAGTTTCAAATGAATAAATCCACTCCAGAAATTCTTACCGACTTCTGATTCAGAGTAAAGCAGAGGATCAGGTATTCAGCTAATATAAGCAAAGCTCTTTAAGTGAAAAAGAAAACCCTATAAACATATGTGCTTTTAAGTTAAAGCGAACGAGGATAGGAGATACCAACATAAAACTAATCCTTATGAATAACCAGTAACTACTGCTCCTCCCAAAAACCATTAAAATTTTAAATACAAGAGTAAGTGTTAATAGTAATGACTGTGCCACTGGACTCACTCCAATATTTGGGTTGCAAGCTGGAACACCTCATATTTTCCAGAAGGGGACCAAGCTGGCAGGCAAGAACGCAGCTCTGGGGTCAGATAGTCAGCGTGGAATACAGGCCTTGCCACCGAGCAGCTGGTGGCTTCTGCAGGGCCTCCGTCTCCGCCGGCTCAGAGGCTTTTTTTTTTTGGGCTCAGAGTGCTAATGTATAATTTTAATGTTATTACAAATTGGAATCACTTAAACATTCCCCCAAATGAGGATTTAGTTACAGTAGGCACAGCTAATAAAGCAACCTCACAAGAACTTAAAAGAGTTAAAAAGGAAACTGTCACCAGTGGCTGAGCTGAAGAGCCTTCCTGTTCACTCCCACAGGGCCAGAGCCCTATGCTCAACCCCCTGCTAACCCAGGGCCTGGGCAGGCGCAGGTCCCCCAGCCCCCCTGAATCCTGTGCTCTGCTCCAACAGGCAACAAGAACAGACCCCCTCTCCCCTTCTCTTGCTCCCATTTCTTCATCACTAGTCTTCCTTCGACAGTATAGTTTCCAGTACACATTTCTCTTATTTGTAAATAAAAACTAGGCTCCAGGAACTCAGGGCCCTCCACTCATTCAACAAAATATTTACCAAATGCTTATTATGTGTCAGGCTCAGTGCCCGGCACTGGCTGTAAAGGAATCGACAGGACAGTCTCTGGTGAAGCTGAAAGTCTCATGGGGGCAGACCACAGTCAAGTGAACAGATCAACAACCGGGGTATGTGCTGGGGGAATCTTGAAAGCCGATGCCTGACATCTCCTTACCGGCCTCCCTCCTCCATCTACAAAGCCTGGAGCAACTAACAGGCCCTGAATCCCGGGTCCCTGGTGAGGAGAGCTTTTAGGCTGCTCAAAGGCCAGCGACCTAGAGTTCTGTGTGGGCCAGTGTGCAAGCAGGATATCAACCCACATAAGGCAGCAGAAAGCCACAGAAGAGGGAGTATTTAATAACCTAATCACTGGGAATCAGCAGACCAAGTTCCTCCTCACAATTCTGTTTCAGAAAAACCCTCAGGACAGTTGTCAAAAGACAAGTTACTAAATCTGCTCAACTGGAAAATCATCATGAAAGAAAACAAGTCTAATAAACATGGACAGAATCTTAAAACATGAACATAACTGGGAAGAATTTAATGAATGTGAATTCGTTATCACTGATAATCCTGTAAGAGATATGGACTAAATGATATCCCTGAAACTTGTCAGGACTTAGAAGAAAAGACTACATTTGTACGGTTTCCTTTAAACAAAGTTAAACGTTTCATTAAACACATCATCTCCTCCGAGAATACACGATGTTGATATTTCTTCATTTTACCGAACACTTCACGGGAAGTGCTTGTGTTCGTTTAGAATTATTTTGCCTAAAAACCAGACAAGAGCGTGTGGTAACCCACTAAGTGAAGACCAAGAAGTGGTGTGCTGGGGCAGCCAGGAGTGAGAGCTCTGCACTATCGCAGAAAGGAAACTACATGTTCCAAACCTTCTTCCTCAGTAAAGTGAGGGACTCCTTAATTTTGTCAACCAGGGCCTCGCTCTTCCCCTCAAACTTCAGTCCAAGCTTCCACTGCTTGATCCAGCTGTATTTGCTTATGAGTTTTTCTGGTAACTAGAGTATCAAGAAACAGAGAGAGAGAATGTTAACATTCCAGAAAGGCCATCACACGATCCAAGTTATAAGAAACAATGAAGCCTACAAGACCTACCTGCGTTTCCAGAATTAATTCCTGCACATCTGTCTGGGTTTAGGACGGCAGACCTAAATCTGGAAGTCAGGATCTCGGAAAGACCCACCCCGAGGAGGGCTTCTACAGTGAAATGGCAGTTTGGGTTGAGACCCGAAGGCACAATGTACCTGGCTGGGTTCCAGCCGCGGGCAGGAAAGTTCCACAGCACTTTGTAAGGGTACATGAAGGCAGTGTTCACACCAGGTCTTCGCATAAACCACCCAAGCAGCTGCGGGGCTCACTGGTGTCTCCCTACCACTCCCTAATGCCTGACTCAGGAAGGCACTTTGGGCCTGTGAGGTGGTCCAGGATAGGGTAAAAACCTGTTCCTTTCCTGACTAGGAAAATAAAACCTAACTTCTGATACTTACACTATCATCAAAGTTTTAATATTAGAAAGAAACAATATGGTATCTAGTTTAACTAATCAGTGTAGTAAGATAAAAAATACAACTGAGAATAAGAAGCAGGGGTTAAGGGAGTTGTGATGGGCTAGCTCATTAAAGAACTGACAGCTGAACTATTATTTTGCCTGTTTCCTTTTTTTTCCTGGAGCGTTTGCTATTTTGTTTTCCCCTCATCATCAACAGAATTTGGAGTCTGAAAAGCAAGCTGGGACATAACCGGATCAATGTCAGCATGGGAACTCAGACTTTCCCAACAGTCTTAGAGAAAACCATATAATTAGGCCGGGCACAGGCATGTCCCTTCAGTGCTATAAAATGCAGAAAGGAAAAAAGAGTTCACCTCCAAGTCAAAAGATCATTAGAGAATAATTAATTCCTCCCTAGAACCTGAGTTTGTTTAACAGTTATAATACAGTGTTAAATGAGGCCATGTGTTCAGTTCTCCTGGAATCTAAGGCTCTGAAGACCCTTTCATGAACGGGAACTCCAGTTTTACCTTCTCTTTACAGCAGTCATGTGAAACTACAGTGGTTTCATCTCTACAAAAAAACAAAACCACAACAGGGACGTAAATTCCTCTTCAGGTGGTTAGCACAATGATGGCGTTAACGGAGGAGGGGCTGTGTTCTCATCTTATTATGATGACAAATGACCACCCGCCCAAGAGCAGCCCAGCTCTGTGCCCACACTGTCCTACATTTCAGCAACATGTGGGCAGTTCTGCTGCAAACTTTCTATCAGGTTCTCTGGTTTATCACCAGATTCTAAAATGCCCTCAAGTGGCAATAAGCTGAAATCACAACTGGGCACAGAGAAGTGCAATGAGCAGAAAATACTGGCTACGCAGATGTGAGCTGGGAAACGGGGTGGAAGGAAGCCCAGAAAACATGAGCATCACGTGACATTATGCATGTACCTAAAAAGCAGGCATGATACTCAATTACTCAAGAGACCCCAAAGATCTAACTACACAGAGCAAAACCCAAATAAAAGTCCGTTTCCTCATTCCTTCCACGCATGGGCCAAAGTATTGCTGGAATAATTATCAAGGGCTGTATATGCTGGAAGCTGTGGAGAGCCTGGAGAAAGCCCAAAACTGAGGTGTGAAAAGAAACTATGAGGAAATAATAATGGAGCTGAAATTCTTTACTCAGATGAAAAAAATGAGTATAGCTTTAAATGCTTTCAGGGGGTCATGACACACAACACACACACACATAGCCATTCTTTTACACTACACACACAGAGACTGGACTTCTGTTAGGGTAAGGGAGATGTAAAGAAGAAACAAAATTAAAAACAAGAAACAATGATGGGAAATACTTAATAAAGCAGGCAATTAGCTTAGGTATAATTTCATTTGTGACTGAAATATAAAAACAGCCTGTTTTCTCTAGCAAATGTCCATAATTCTCGAAATCAGCACCATGGTTAAAGGGATTGCAAGTAACAAAAATGTGTCATCCCCAAACTGTCTCATGAGTTCTGATATACAGTCTATCCCACCCTAAGCAAGCAAACACTGTCACAGGTCCCACCCACTCAGAGACATTCTAAAACTATGGAACCAAAGGACCCCTGCCCCGAAGGATACCACCTCTTGGGGACCCAGCTGCTGCCCAAGTTTAAGAACAGCCAGACCAAGCCACGGTCAGACCCACCAAGGTCAGGGTCACGGTCAGATCATCCGACTGCAGTCAAACACAGAGACTAGGATCTGGACAGAAGCGGGAACGACAGACAGGGAGCCAAGACATGATGACAGGAGGTGAGGGGCGGCCAAACTGTCAGACGGGCCACGAACGAGCAAGGCCAGAGGAGCCGAGCAGCACGGGACAAGCGGCCTGGGCTCTCTCACCTCCACTGAGCTCACATTAAGGGGAGGGTCTCGGTCTAGTGGTCCTATTTCCCTTGAATCTCCTGAAACCAAGCGTGTTCTAGGAAAGAGGGAAAATGGCAAAATGCTACAAAGAACATCTCTCCAAATGTAAATGGAAGCAGATACAGCCAGCTACAGGGTGTGCAGCTTCTCTGGACTCACCGGATTCTTGACGAAATGCAAGCTGAGGTCAAGGGATGTTTAGCACAGCATGCAGCCTGCAGGCTGGGCTGGGACTGGTTCTGAGTCTACAGACTCACATACAAACTCAGGTGTCCCAGAACCTGCCTGATGCCCAGTGTGAAGAGGTGGGCTACTACAGAGCCTGGGCAGTTCAGGAGACCCTAACAATGCTGAAACTGGTTCCCTCCAACCTGCCTGCTGAGAGCAGCCTTTTTAGACCACTTTTAGAAGTGGTCAGTGCTCCAAGGACTTCTAAAAGCCCCGTGGACACCAGGACATATGACTGTCACTGGATGCAGGGTAGTGGTCAGAAGAGGCCCTTGGCAATTCAGAAAGATCAAGGATCAGGGTAAACTGAGACAGACTTATTTGTCAGATAGTTACTGTGTTTATAACAGCGAGCCTACCCCATTTTAAACCCCATAATTTATACCAAGCTGTAACAGCAAGCATGGCTTAATTAACATGACAGGATACAAGTTATTCTGATTTAGTAGGAAGATGGGTAGGAAATGGGCACAGAGACTTTCATACCAAAACTCCTGTAAGACCTTCTTGCTCTGTAGAATTGAGTTAAGTATCACCTGATCTGCTTGTCTTTATCACGAGCATTAACAAATATTAAGACGCCTCCTTACTACAGATACACAAGTAGTCTCTGGTAACGGAGAGGCCCCACTTGCGGGGCGAGGCGGTCCGGTTACCCCACCACCACAGTGCACCACCAGCTTCTGCAGGCCTCACCACCCGGCGGTATTTGTACTTGGTTCCACCCCGACTTCTTCCAGTCACGCTGCACCGCCCTCTCGCTCACCCAACGAGACCCCTGTCAGTGTGGACCTTCCGACAGGAGACCAGGCGGAAGGGCCAGCATGAGAACAGGGATGGAATGCCATCCACAGGAGGCTGCTTGAGACACCTGGGAGGTGGTTAAAAACTAGTCTGGTCAAGTGTGACAACCAAGTCTTTGTACCCCTTCCTGCACTGGCACTTCAAATGAGAAGCGTGTGGTGCATCTGTCACCCGCCCAAGACACATAGCAAAACAGACCCTGTCAGGAAAAGTGCTCAAATCGAGGGAATCTGCTGGGGGCTGAAAAGTCAACACAGGGACAAGTCTTCTAGTTGGATGAGAGCAAGAAAAGTTTAATAAACTTTCATACTGAACTCACGGACAGGTATGATGTGCTTTTTCTCTCTGACGTGGGCCTCTTGGCATTCGAGAAAGGTTAGATGACAAAAATAATACCACTGTGACCAACTAATTATGCTCCCAAGAGAAAAACTCTACTTGTTGACTGATACATACAGAAAAGGGAAGAAATTAGAGTACTTGAGAATTTCCACATGACTCAAATGAAGTCAGGAAAACCACCTTAAAGCCCCCATTGCTCATACACGCAACGTGCTCTCATACCGATCAGAAACCAAGCACAACCTACCTAGACTATTTTTAATTTGGCAGATAACCTTACCCAAATGTACCCTGTTAGTAAAATAAAAATTATGCTTTACTTTCATGGAGCGTATTTTGTATGTTTAATTATGTAGAGCATTACTTGCACCAGAGTTCCTTGGAAAGTTAAAAACTCAAATTCATTACATCAGTTAAGTCCATAAATCTAAGCAGCCCCTTAAAGTAAAAGGCTCAAAGGAAAACAGCCTAAAATTGAGGAGGATTTTGTCACAATCAATAAATAAAGCTATGGTTGTCAAACAAAAGTTAAAGCAAAACACAGTGAGATCACCCATGTCTGCTTCCCAAGCAGTGTCTCATGTCCACAGGCATGCTTTTGACTGACCAACAATTCTCAAATATTTCAGTACTGATATATGTCTAATTTGCAAAGCTAAAAGTAGCCTAGTGTATCAATTTCTTTTGCTCCTTTCTCAAAAAAAAAAAAAAACAAGCTAATACTGAGAAATCTGTTTAAGATGACATATCTTTGGGACTTCCCTGGTGGCGCAGTGGTTAAGAATCCGCCTGCCAATGCAGGCGACACGGGTTCAAGCCCTGGTCTGGGAAGATCCCACGTGCCGCAGAGCACCTAAGCCTGTGCGCCACACCTACTGAGCCCGTGAGCCACAACTCCTGAAGCCCATGCGCCTAGAGCCCGTGCTCAACAAGAGAAGCCACCGCAGTGAGAAGCCCACGCACCACAGCAAAGAGTAGCCCCTGCTCGCCACCACTAGAGAAAGCCCACACGTAGAAACGAAGACCCGATGCCGCCAAAAATAAATAAAATAAATATAAATTTATATTAAAAAAAGATAATGTATCTTTGATTAGAAGAAAGTATCTTTCACAGATATCATTTAAATAGTTTATACACATGTGATAATCACCTGAGAGACAGGTGGTATCCTCCACCCACTGATCCTGGTTTTGCTCTTTGAGGGTATGTGATACCCCGTCCACCTAACAGACCTCTAATTAGCTTAACTGCCAACCAATATCCTCTAAAAGTCTTTATTCTAGGCAAATACCCCAGCTCCTTCAACTGTTCCCCAAAGCAGATGAGCCCTGTCGGGCACACTCCCACCTGTACTGAGGGTACAGGCACAGAGCTGCACTGGGTCCTCAAGATGAGATGTGACCAGCCCCGTTCAAGACAGGGCTGTCACTGCCTGTGTTTTAGAAGTGTTCCTTTTAAGACAGGGCTTCCTTATCACTGCAGGCATCACACATCAGCGGGCTCGTACTGGGCCTGCAATCCATTAAAATCCTGACTCTTCCTTCCCCCCTCATAAGTTGCTGGTAAGGCAGATCTCCCACAGCTAGCACTCTGAGTTTTGGTTGGGGGTTCTGTTTTAATACAGGCGCAACGTTTCCTATTTTCTTCCAAGTAATGTCACATTGTGACTTCCGCTCAATCGTGCCTGCCCACCAAACTCTTTGGGGTATTCTATCATCCAACATATCATGACCTCAAGCTGATGTGTGTCGTGGTTACACGACACACTGATGATGTGACTTCTTGGGATGTCACGACCAGGCTGCAGATTTAAAACCTTAAAGAGGGCCAGGCCTGGGACACAGCCCCGGACCCTCACCTCCCCAGGGAGCCTCCCCCAGGCTGACAGCAACCGTCTCTCTTCTAGTGTTGCTGCTCTGCCGCCTGCCACGCCAGCTCTCCTAACACTCTGCAGAGGGTGCCGATTCCTTGAATTGGAGCTAGAATCACAGAAATCTGCCTCCTAAAACCCCAGCAGGTTCTCAGATAGTACAATATACAGCCCACTTGGTAGAGACTCCAACACTGAAGTCAAACTGCCCTAAGTGCTTTGAACAAACGCTAAACACCTGCTCTCTAGTTCAGCTGAAGCACTGAAGAAATTTTATCATCTTCCTCTTCTGGGGAAATATCAATCATTTTTGGTCGCTTTGCTATGCAAAATCATCTCAGCCACACAAAACTGAATAAACCCACACACTGATGTCACACTGCAGACAGTACTAGCACGTAGCACAGGGCAGAGAAGGGGAAGTCTTTCTCACAAAAGCGACTGGAAACATTGCAGACTCAAACCTGCGGCAGCAGCGTACCAGCGTGAGGTCCGGGTCCTGCAGCCAGGAGGGCAGCGCAGACGGCTGGCTCATGGCCTGGAAGAGTGTGGCCCTCAGCGCACAGTAATTATCTCCACGGACTCGCCTGATGGAGGTGAATTTCTGAGACACCTCCTCGTAGCCCTGGACAAAAGCATCAGAGAATTCAAAATGGTCATTACTGACTTCAGAGAGTGGGGAGAATTTTATTCCCGTGGAAAACATGTGCCCCCAATCACTAGAAGAACGGAAACAAGACTGGCTGAGTCTTTCATGTAAGATATTTGAATTCTTTTTTTAATTAATCAAAGGAAATTAACAAATGTTAGTACTGAACATAGTATCAGCATATGTAGCAGACGCAACATACTAGAACATATAAAATAATACACCAAGTATTATTAAAACACTAGTCACCCCCAAAGTTGGAGTCATATGCCCCTTAGCAACCGTTGTAACATTCACTTATTAATAACCAACATTCTGAAGGCTTTAATCTGTGTTTAGATTGACCCTAAACTCTTTAATGAAGAGACAGGAAAGACAAGAGAAATGTACCCAGCTCGTATCTCCACATTAAAAGTAATACCCCCAAATCCAAAATTTCCGCGAAATACATAGAAAAACTACATGCTAGGAGGTGCCTGGATAAACTGTTAGACTTTTTCAAAAAGTGGATTTAAGTGTCATTCTTGTTTAGCCTGGAAGTGAAACAAGGAAATGAAAATGCTCAGTGACATGCCCAGTCAACTCAAATACAGCCATCCAAATGGACCATTTGGAGCATGCCCCCCAAAAAGGACACCATAAAATCCCAGCGACCTGGTCCAGGGGCCCAGATGACTGATTCCCCGCTGGACGCTGCTCAGGCGTCGGCGTCAGCTTCACGGCTTCCCCACCGCATGGCTTCGCCCCCGACCTGGCAGACCTTTCGCTAGTCCTGCTCTTCCGCAACAATCACTCGAAACCCTGCTTCCCACCCACATTTACACAAAAGAAGAAGTGTCGCCCTCATGGGGTGGGCACCATGTAGACAGCCATCCTGTGTCCAGGCACTGGACCCTGCTATTAGTTGTTTTCAAGGTTCAAGTCACAGGATGATGTTCTAAGTGGGTATGAAAGTATGTCTTTCCAATAATAAAATTTTGAGAGTTGCATTTTTATTCAGTGGCCCAACCGCTGCAATGTAAGGGCCCATCAAGGAGACTCATGCCTGCTAATGTGCAGCTCTTCCCTATGGTGAACCCCTAGTTACCCCGAATACTCACGACGGCTAGTTCAACAGCAACTGCATCTTTCCAAGTGTGTAAATGAATATCCAAAACAAAACAATCAGACAAATAAGGACTAAAAGATAACTGAGATCCAAGCTGTTATCAGGCCCAGAAATGCTCTGACTGCCACGGGTCCCGATGGGATGCTTTTCTAACTGATGTGCCTTTGATTATTTGGTCACCGAAGGGTCCAACTATAGGGTCATATCTTTACCTCAAACTGAAATCATAGAGGAATGACTTCAGCATGAGTTCCAAAATGTGGAACACTTGGATAACTTAGTAAACATCTTCAATTACAGGCTTTAAGGCGCCAACTGTTAGAAGAGATCCTTTAAAGAGACTGAGATCCAAAAATAAGGTTGCATGTCAGTGTAAGCATTTCTGGGGAAGATGAGAAAATACAGTTTAGATACCTGGCCTCTGGTTATCTACTTTGATACAGAGCTAGAGGTTTTTACAAAATCTACGAGTAGCCAATATGCATATTCAGCAGGTGGCCACACAAATCTAAACGTTCTTAAGCTCTGGCAGGAACTGAGAGTCCCAGGTACACCGTGATTGAGCTCTCTAACGAGTGCCGGAGACACAAGTAGTCTACAGTCCAGACTTGCGGGAAACAGGGCTAACACTGGCTCTCAGAGCTTCAAAAGTGGCAGTGGCATTCGACTACGGTCAGCCCATTTCAGGGCAGGCATGGGCAGCTGAGGTGCCTGATGAAAGGGGCACAACATTTTCTACAAAATGAAGCTCTGAGGACAAGAACAAATATATTCAAATACTTAACAATCTTAAATCCTAAACAGTACAGTTCTAAACAAACAAACAAAAATTTTGAAGATACTTCTATCAAACATGACAGGTCAATATCTCTAACATGCCAGAAGTGCATTCAAACTTGTAACGTAAATAAGCCCAAGAGAAAAATAAGTAAAGGGTAAAATCCATAAGTTACAAGAGGTGGTAGAAGCATTAGGGTGAAACTGCCATTTCCGTAGCTCGGAGGAAGTCAGATATGGCCATGCCTTGAACAGCCCAGGGGGCCGGGGTGCGCATGTGGGGCGCAGTTGGACCGCTGGCCCCCAACTCTGTCAGAATCCCGCATGTAATTTTACAGGCGGCCCTCTGCATCCATGCAGCATGTAGTGCTGTAGTCCATATTTATTGGAAAAATCTGCATAGAAGTGGGCCCAAGCACCGCAAACCTGTGTTTTTCAAGTGTCAACTGGAGTAGCAACTTCAATCTATGAAGGAACGCTGGATTCAGGATACATCTGAGGGGGAATCAGTAGGGTGTGCTGCTCGACCTGCTGTGCAGTGGGAGTGGATCAAGGGGCGTGACTCGAGCAATGACCCAACCCAGTCATAGCCACAGTGGGACCGTGTCATGGGAATCCCTGATGTCCCACAGCCTTGGAAGGACTACCTCAGGGTCACCAATCTATGCAATGGGACTGAAGGGGGACAGCTCCTGGGATGCCCTAAATCAGGGGTCCCCAACCCCTGGGCCATGGACCAGTACCGGTCTGTGGCCTGTTAGGAACCAGGCCGCACAGCAGGAGGTGAGCGCCGGGCGAGTGAGCGAAGCTTCATCTGTATTTACAGCCACTCCCCACCGCTCACATTACCACCTGAGCTCCACCTCCTGTCAGCATTACGGTGACTTGTATAATTATGTCATTATGTATTACAATGTAATAATCATAGAAATAAAGTGCACAATAGATGTAACATGCTTGAATCATCCCGAAACCATACCCCTCCCGAGCCCGTGGAAAAATCGTCTTACACGAAACCTGTCCCTGGTGCCAAAAAGGTTGGGGGCTGCTGCCCTAGATAAAGGAATTAGTCCCAGATCCCTCTGCTTAAAAGGTACAGGAGAGTCCAGGCCCCTAGAACTGGAGGACATGGAAAGAAACCTGAGTGGAGACAGCAGGTGTATGACATCTGCGCCTTTTACCTCACCAGGCCAGAAGGGCAGTGTTCCCAAATGACCCCAAGAGGACAACCAATGGCTGGCCCAACCCTGAAGAGCACAGAGCCATTTATGTGTTTTCCAAAGAAATCAAGTTACTGAATAACTGATTATGATTCTATGTTAATACTGTGACTCCAAACAAGTCCCTTATCTTTGGAGCCTGTTTCCTCATCTCTAACATTAGAACACCAATAATTACATAGTCTAGTGGCAGTTTTCATAACTAACATCTAAAAATACAAAAGGACATATTAAATAATTACTTATGATAGACTATTGGAAAGACTCAGAATGCGTGCATCCAGGCATCATACCTTTTTCATACATGTTGCTTTTTGCGTATTTCCCCTCCATTCTTTTTTGCAATAGTCCATGATATCCATTTCAGGAGCTACACTTAATCTGGGTTCTGTTAAAGAATTTAAAAAAAGGGGGGGTGGGGGGTGGGGGGGGAAACAGTGAAACAAAGCATCATCAGAATAATGGTACTACTTTACCTGAGATTTCCTTTCTCGCTCACTGCAGTCCCCCAAAATCCAGAATTCCACCGCTGCCTACCACCTGGTCCAGACCTCCAGCACCTCACTCCTAGGTGACCACCGAGGGCTCCCAGTGGGCCTCCCTGTCACCACACCCTACCAACCATTCTCCACACGGCAGCCAGAGGGGTGCATTTAAAACGTAAGTCAGATGCTACCCACCACCGCTGGGCTCCAAGGCCTCCCATCACACTCGACTCTACTCCCTCACTACCTACAAGGGCCTCGTGCCCGGGCCGCCCGCTGCCTTTCCGGCCTCAGCTCCCACCACTCCCCACGCTGACGGTTCCTGCCCTACCTGCGGGGCATCCGCTCCTCGCTCCCTGAAGGTCTCTGCTCACCTCTTGACGCTGATGCCCGATATCAAAATGCCACACACACACCTTCACTCTATTCCCCTTACATGGTTTTCTTATTGGCACTGATCAACACCTGACATATTTCATTTTCTGCACCCTGCCTTCCCCACCCCTACACTGACACACAGACAGACAGACAGACGACACACACACACACACACACACACACACACACACACACACACACACACGGCAAAACATGAGCTCTCTGAGGGCAGGGGCTTTGTTTTGTTTCTCAGCTGTGCCCTCAGCACCTGTAACCACACGGACCCAGGTGCCCATGAATAATGTTCACGTTAAATAAATACGCAGCAGTCTAAGCTCTGAGAAGATACATCTAATGATTTGTAATTTGTTTTTTACATCCATTATACAAAGAGATAAGACCTCTATTACAAAAGTATATTTAATTGTCTCTATTTAGTTATATCCTGCCTTGATCCCAAAAGGCTATAAACTGTTGATAATCAGCCAGAAATTAACGGAGCTCTCAACATTAGTTGAACCACAGACCTTGTCTGACTCTAATAACACATCCCTCCAAATTAAAAAATACAACCTATGATCAAACGATATAGTAAAAAAATGGCCTTTAAACTTTCCTGCTTAACGTATGAGGTTTGAGATTTGATTTTGTGGCATATGCATATGCAAGCACATGCGTATGTGTGTGTGGATGTTCTAGGAAGAAAGAGAGGTAAATTCCCAGTCATCTCTTGACTTCCTTTTCAAAATACTGAAGAAGTAAATGTTAGCAAAGAAATCAGGATATAAACACAGAAGTACCTTACAACATATCTACTCAGGAGGAAGCTGAACACAAAATAAAGATGTTATATTCAGCTCAATTCAATAAACACTTACTGCGTGTCTAGTATGTGCCAAGCTTTGAGCTAGGAACGGGGGGTATGAAGACGTTAAAGCCCCAGATTCTGTCCTGAATGTGTTTAGAGACTACTGAAGAAGAAAGGACCACAGGTACTCACCACACAGGGTGTGACAGATGAGGGATGACTGATGCAGGAGCCCAGGAGGAGCCCCTAATCCCTGTTTGCAGTTCAGGTAAACCAATTTTTTTTTAAATCAAAAAATGTAAGAACCGCCTGTTTTTAAAATCTCATGGTAAATCCTTTCACAAGGAAAACAAACCTTTTATACAAAAGGGAAAATAACACATATACAGATAACAGATACATTTATCTGTGGCATAAGTCAGGACTGGCTTAAAGGTGAAACAGACCCTGGAGCATAATACACGGAGACCACAAATACCACTGCTGCAGAGCCAACCCTCAAATACAAACCAGTCATTGTCTGAAGTCAATAAACACTGTTTGAGTGTCTATTTAGTGGAGGGAAGATTTCCCTTTTATCGCCTTCCTACTCAGCTCCCCACAAAGCTTGAGGAACTACAAATGTCCAGAGCTGAGGACACTTACTGGGGCATGTCCCGCCACGAGGCAGAGCATGCTTCCAGCTCAGGAAGGGCCTCCCGGAAGAAGGTCCAGCCTTGCCACTCTCCTCACTTGCAGTCCTCTTCCTGTGTGCACCGAGACAGGACTCGGCCCCTGGTCAGGGAGGCAGGCCACACCCCAGGACTGAGGGGAGAAGGCAGAAGGCTCAGAGGGCTCAGAGGCCAAGCCGCAAGCCACAGCCCTGTGCTGAACCAGAGGTCCACGGGACACAGTTGAGGGTGCAAAATGGGTACTCGCAAAGCGCTAGCATCAAAATTATACTTTCAGTCCCATCCTGCCACCATTCTTTGGGAGGAGGACTCCAACAGCCACCGCATGCCATCCTCCAGGCTAGAAGCTGGAGACACAGGACAGGCAGTGCCTGACCTCAAGCGGTTTAAGTATACAACAGTTCCTTGCTTTGTTTAACTGCATCCAACACAGACTGATTACTGTTCCCAGGAAAGAACATTTCTAGTGGCAAAAAAAAACCCCACAAAGACAAACACAAAAAAAACACAAAGGGGTAAGCTGAAAATCAGAGTGGCAACCAGAAGCCAAAATAACCAAGAGGTTTGTTTCTTAAGCACCATATGGTGACAAAGACAAGGATTCAGAGTCTCAGAGGATGGGAAGTTAAAACTGAACCCCTCCAGAACGCTGGGACTCTCAACTGAGAGGCTATAGGGCAAGAATCGCAAACTTCTTCTCTGGTGGGCCAGAGAGTAAGTAACGTAGGCTTTGAGGGTATAAGGTTTTCTCTCACAACTACTCAATTTTACTATGCATGAAAATCACCACGGGTGATGTGTAAACCAAGAAGTTCCAATAAAACTTTATTTACAAAACCAGGTGCCATGTCAAATTTGGCCAGGGAGCTATAGTTTGCTGAACCCTGGACTAGGTGAAAAAAAGCTTTTCACTAACAAAGAGAGAGCATAAAAAAACTCTCTGCCTTGGCCTGGGCTCTGACTCGGGGAGAGAGGAAGCCTCCCCTGAGAATTCATAACCACGGGCCAGCTCTCACACAGGGCCAGGGTGTGACTTCACACTAGCTGCAAGACCCTGGAAGCTCAAACCCAGAAATTAACCTAACATGGCCCAAGGCAGGTGACTCCCTGGGTGCCTGGCAGAAACAAGGCCAAATCCTCTCATGCTCAAGACAGGCTGCATAAACTCTACACAGATACATGAAAGCTGAGCTTAGAATTCAAACCCTGAAGAAACAAGAAATAAGGAAAAATAGCAACTGGCATAATTAGGCCTGCCAGGATTTTCAGGTAATGGGATTAACAGGCCTGAAAGAGTATGTTCAAAATGCTTAAAGGAATAAAAGAAGGAATAAAAACATGACCAAAGAGCAATACACTATCAAAAAAAGACCAAGCAAATTCAGAGGGAAAATAGAACTTTTCCAAAAAAGAAAGAAAAAGAAAATATTTCCGAAGGAACTGTCCTGAATGCAACAGAGGCTGGAAGTCAGAAAACATTTGAAAGGGTGTGTAACAGAGGGACCTGGATGACTGAATGATAGCTAGCAAACACCTCATTAGAGCTATGAAAGGCGTAAGTAGAGAGAATAGGAAAAAGGCAATATTCAGAAAAATAGTGGCTGAGAATTCTCCTGAACTGATGAAAACTAGGCATCCTCAGATTCAAAAAGTAAAAAGAAAATCCCAAGCAAAATGTTTAAAAGAAAAAAAAAAAATCCATACTTAAGAAACCTCAAGGAGAAACTGTAGGACACCGAAGACAAAGAGAAGACAGAGAAAGACAGATTTCCAAGGATCGGACTGACTGCAGTACTTTCAACTACAACAGAAACCAGAAGACAATGCAATAAAATCATCAAGAAAATTAGAGGGGCTTCCCTGGTGGCGCAGTGGTTGAGAGTCCGCCTGCCGATGCAGGGGACGCAGGTTCGTGCCCCAGTCCGGGAAGATCCCACATGCCACGGAGCTGCTGGGCCCGTGAGCCATGGCTGCTGTGCCTGCGTGTCCGGAGACTGTGCTCCACAACGGGAGAGGCCACAGCGGTGAGAGGCCCATGTACCACAAGAAAAAAAAAAAAAATTTAGAAAAAACAAATATTCATCTGGGGTTATTCAAGAAAGAAAGTAAAATAAAGAAATTTTTATACGGACAGAGCTTCCCACCAGAGGCACTTCTACAGGATGTTACTGCGGGAAGGGCCATGAACCCAGGAGGACTGAGATTCAGGGTATAAAGGGATCCATTCTGACCTCAGACTAAAGCTGGACAAGGCCTCAGACAAGACCCCCTGAAAAGCCAGAGCACCTGCACAGGCCTTCCCTGGGGGGCAGAGGAGAATTCCAACAGAGAGCCTGCAGAGTGAGTGAGAAAGTAAGGGGCCCCTGCACACACAGCAGG